ATACAGTTTAAAGTTTTGAGTTATACTGAAAACAAAGTTATATAATATAAATTATACAAATTATAAAATACTATACGTTCCGTAAAGGATTCCAAAAACGTATTACATAATTATAACAAACTTTATCGGCCCGACATGGCCGGGTGGTTAGCGTGGAAGCGTTAGAAAAATGTGACGGTCAGTCTCATTATTCGTTGGTAAAAGAGAAGCCCAAGTGTTGACGGTGTGTGTCACTAGTTTTCTTCCCTCTAGTCTTTCACTGCTAAATTATGGCCGGTTAGAGCAGATAGCCCTCGATTAGCTTTACGTAAAAATTCAAAACGAATCAAACCAAATCCCATTTTGAGTGTACCAGTAAATTTGTGACTAAGTTATAACTGAATTAAGATTATTTTCTAATTAGTTGAATATGATTTATGAATTATGCTCAGAAATCATTCATAACTATATTTTACACATATTGTTTTTTATAAAAACTTAAGGTTGTTTTGCTATCTCCCTATGCTAAGTAATAATGTATATTTTAATATCATTTTAATTATTTAAAATAAACTAATTAATATTTGTGTTTATACGTACATGCATATCTTAATATGACAATATAGTGGAGAGACCAGGTCATTGAAGAGAGTAATAGGTCAAAAACTGACGGAGAATCCTCACTCTGCATTGTTTCTGAAAGTGGTAACTCTCTTTACGACACAGAAGAGTGGAGATCAAAATCGTTTGGGTCTCAGTCACTAGTAAAAGTTGACGATGAAGACACATGCATAACTTCGGAGACACCCCTGATGAATTCCCTTGCTGGAGGAGAGGTTAGTTTTATGTTTTCTTTGAATAGGAACACAATAATATTGCACACGTGTTTCGTTTGAAAGAAGAAAAAAAAGGTGTCTTATTGTTAGGTACTGTGCCTTTTCTATTTATAATTCAAAACATGATAATTTATTACCGAAGTAAAAACCGTAAGAATATATATGTTATGCCCCCAGATACAAATAACGTTTTTAAAAAGCTCTCTTCTAACCAGTTTATGTTTCAGAAACATATATATCGTAAAATGTCTACATGAAATGCAGGTTTACTCTGTTACAAGTAAGCAATTGAAGCACAAAAACATAGAGTTCAGACAATCTTAAAGTTCGATAAACATTTAGTCCAACAGTGGCAATATAGGAACAATTCAAACGATAATTAATTCCACATAGACTAATTTTCTCACAGATCATATAATTACAAGTTATCCATTATAGTAATAACCCATTGTACCCATGCTGTTAAAACGTGATCTGTAGATTGGGAGTTTGTGAGATAGTACATCAGAAACTATATTTAGAACGTCATGTACGTGACCTAACGATAAAGCTAAATCTCCACCGATGCAGTAATCCCAAAATTATTTTATACTTAACAAATTTAACCAAATCTGATTAAAGACTGGTATAATACACTACGTGTTTGTATCTATCGGCCTTAACAGTACAAATTTCTAAAGGATGGGGATTTAATCTACAAGTGACGGAACAAAATAACTATTTACCAGGGATCTGTCTCATCCTTAATGAAACGGATGTTTAATGGGGTATTTTTACAGAACAGAACTTGTCTGTGGCAAAATCATTATGTTTCCATTTGTATTCAATTCTATGTAGGGGCACTAGTATTTTTCTATGTGTACTGATTCTTATATAGGCGCACTTGTATTTTCTCTATGTGTATTTATTCCTATTTAGGCGCACTTGTATTTTCTCTATGTGTATTTATTCCTATGTAGGCGCACTAGTATTTTTTTATGTGTATTGATTCCTATGCAGAAGCACTAGTATTTTTTCTATGTGTATTGATTCCTATGCAAGCGCACTAGTATTTTTTCTATGTGTATTGATTCCTATGCAGACGCACTAGTATTTTTTCTATGTGTATTGATTCCTATGCAAGCGCACTAGTATTTATTCTCTGTGTATTGATTCCTATGCAAGCGCACTAGTATTTATTCTCTGTGTATTGATTCCTATGCAAGCGCACTAGTATTTTTTCTATGTGTATTGATTCCTATGCAGAAGCACTAGTATTTTTTCTATGTGTATTGATTCCTATGCAGACGCACTAGTATTTTTTCTATGTGTATTGATTCATATGCAGACGCACTGGTATTTTTTCTATGTGTATTGATTCATATGCAGACGCACT